AAATTAATTAGTGCTTCTTATATCTCAGTAAGAGCCACTTATTTTAAATACAACTAATGTTCTTATACTTAAATTGAAATTAAATAATAAATATTCATGAACTTGGGCAACTTATTTGGGTCTTTTGTTAATTATTTTTAAATATTTCTTGTACTTACAACTAATTAATATGCATAAAATTAATAGTAAATATTAATTATTTTAAATACTTAATAAAAGTTATTTATACTCACTTATTAAATTAATGTGAACAAATTAAATAGTAAATATTTATGAAAAAAACTGAGCAATTGATATTATTACTGGTGAATGCATGAAGCTGATGAAGAAATTATTATGAAAAAAGTGATAACAAATTAATGGATTAAGTAGAATGAAACTAAACACATGGAATTATTTAAAGGTTAAATATAAGTCTGGTCTGGATTTTAATAATAATTCTGAATTGCGAAATACACAAAGATGATAAAATCCTTTTGTGAGATAAGGAGAATAAAATAATGATACAAATATTGGGATCCATTTATCTATATATAGTAAAGTATAGTGAACCTCGATGAAATTAAATAAGATTAGATAGTAAAATAGAAGATATCGACTGAAAAATAATATAGATATATAAAATGTATTGTTCTAAATGTTGAAATTGTTGGAGGTTACAATCATTAATTGTTATGCTTTACAAAATTGAGTTTGGAAATTTTACTCACCAATTAGTTTATAATACAATATAAAAATATATCACTTAATTAGCATAGTGGCATATTTGACTAAGAATTAAATTGTACAAGAACAATGAATGAAATTAATAAATAAAATCTCCAAATAAAAAAAAAACATAATATTAAAACTTAAATTTTTTTAAATTGCTTCATAATAAAATTCATTTCTAATGTATTAATTATTTGAAGAATTATGTGAAGTTGAAGTACATATAGAATAACAACAGTGTACAAAATGAACCTTTGATAAATTGTCTATAAGACTTATTGGGTAAACTCAGTGCCATCTTGTATTTTTAGCTGTTTGTTTTTCATAAACTGGACATTGAAGAATTGGATCAAATATAGAGCATTTTTGCAACCAGTCAACTTAAATAAATAAATATACTAAACTATCATTATATCTATGCATAAATATCACCTTTAGTATAGTGTAAGACAATCCAGTTTTTTTCTGAATTTGTATAATATCACCAGAATGCAAATTAATATATGTATCAAATGTGCCATCATTATTTAATAAAGTGTAACATATTTGCTTATAAAATTCTACATGCTTATATATTAAAGCTGCTTTTTTTTCTATATAATTATCATATGAGCTTATGATGTCATAAGTAAACTGAAGATTGTCATCAAATTTTACAGGTAGTGAAAGTTAATGAATTTTGCTTTTTGATAGACATTTCCATGTTTTGAGGTTTCTTATTTTATTATTATATGATGTGATATTTGTACCTATTGCAATAAGGAATTAAAATTTTTGGTTACTGAAATTCCAAGGCCATAGTTCAAAATCGAAGAACCATATTAAGAGCATAAAAAGCTAATCCTTATATAAATATATGAAGGTTAAAAAAAAGAATGTTATTAAATAGACATGTGTAAAGAAACTTCATCTATTGTAAGTAAAACATTAATTCCATGCTAATATGTATAAATATTAACTTTGACAAGTTATTTTCTTTTTGAGAAATCATCTATTGTAAGTGTTAGATAATTACTAATTATATACATTAATAAAATATAATGTTACCTTAGAGTTTATACTTTTTAATTTTGGAATTTCAGATAATTGAAAATTTATATACTTACTTATATCAGCAGTATCTTCTTGAGTATCTTGAATATTCTGTATCATACACCAATCTGATAATATTGATTGAAGCAATGAGTCAGTTGTAAAATTTTGAAAATGGCTATCTTTGCCTCTATTAATTAGATAACGAATTATTTGGATTGTATTGTGCCATCAAATAAGATCAAATTCTATATTCTTGCAATTCATTTTTGAAACAGAGCTTTTGAATGTTTTATGTACCACTTCCTTTACTCCCACAGAGATATTTACAAGTGTTTCAAAGTTGCGAGCATTTTGAACATGATGTGAGTTTATATGTAAATTTGACAAATTATTGAAATTGTCTAGAAAAAGCTAAAGTACAATGATATAAATAATGTTAGTTATGTTTTATATTGCACTAATAGAATTAGATTGAATTGAATTATCAAAAATCACCATCTTAAAATAAACACCCTCTTATTATTATTAAAAGTCCCTTGATTTTTTAAGGATTTGTATAAGTAAATCCTAATTTAGGTTAGCTAAATATCATCAACAGTCTTTTATGCTAATATATAAAAAATTAAAACCTATATATACATATACATACATATGTATATATATACAGTACATATTACAAGAAACAGTACTTACCTTTAGTAAGAAAATATGCTCAATTTTTAGAGCTTCATCTAGTTCTATATATGTTTAGTTAGTAAATATAAAACTGAAACTTAAGCATGATGCTTTTGTGATGGCTACCTAGCAAGAAATGATTTTGTTCACAATTTGTGTAGACAATAGCATCTTTAATTGCATGTTTGTTAATATTGTAAGTTGCCTTTGCAACAAAGCCAAATCAGTATCTTTGATATATGATGTTGTTAAGAACCTTCATAATAAGAATAGCATTATTATTGCTAATTACAAACAGTCAGAAAACATGAAACTGTTAAGGTGGTTAATTGGGTTAGGAAGATAGTACCAGCCAGATGGTAACTCAAAGGTTTTTCAATAATTTAAAAAAGTGCATTTTTCTTTTTGATTTAATATTGAAAAAGTACAATCCATTAGCCTTTGTATTTTTCCAGCTACAGCATGGTACACAATCTGGGATGTTTGTAAATACTGATTCTATGTCAGTTGATTCAAAATGCTTGGGTGTTTAGTTAAACTATACTCTGTACAGTAATCATTTCCCATTTTTTGCAGTGCCCCTCTTTGTATTAATTTTTTTAATTTATTAATTTTTTTATTTATTATATGATGATACCTTGCATTTAACTTAATATTAAAAGAAAGATTACTTAATTGTTCTTTAGATGCCAAACAACTTCTACATCCTTGATTACTACTATGACATTTTGTATTTGCAAGATCATTGCCTTGAGAGAGATTAGTAATTATAATACCCAAAATAGCTACTATCCATATTTGTTGACCTGAAAAATTCATCAAAATACCTTATTCTAAAATTTTAATTTTATTTATAATCAGTTTTATTACATCATTAAACTCCTCTCCAAATGGAACAAAACCCAAAATAAAATGATTCTTTAATTGTTTTCTTAGCTGTAAAGGCATATTGCAGAATTGAAAATAAATTCACCCAAGGAATGATACACATTATGAAACATACCAAAGTCATTGTAATAAATATCCAACATAATTTTTAATGTAGGCACATTATAAGGAGCTGACATTGGAATTTGAGCATATTCAATTAGATGAAGATGTCTCAGTCTGCAATCTCTTATCTTCCACCAGCCTTTATGACAATATAAAATTTTTCTCATATAAAATTAAAAATTAGGTAACTTTGAAGTATCTTGAAGCCAAACTGTAACAGGTTCAATAATATTAAATGGATCAGTCAAGTATGTTATTTCGCTTAGCCACAATTTTCTATTCCTTGATTACTCTTTTTGTATTGAGCTTGCAAATATCCTTGATAATTCAGTGCCAAAATAAAGATGTTGAATCTTCAATTTAATGCTATTTGAAGTTGAAACTATAGCTAAAATTCTTCCTATTCTTGTTTCTTCATTCTTATATTTAATAAAAGATCCTATTAAATATAATTCTAAACAATATTTTAATTATAGTTAATAAAAATTTTTTAAATTATGCTTGCTGGCAAACTGAATAAATTAAGAACACCCAAAGCAATTGCTACTTATCATATAAGTGTGAAATTATTTTGAATAATAGGCTTAATTTAGGCCAAAATACGAAATTACACCCCTGTATGCTTATACAGTAAAAATTATATTGTTAATATTCAAAGATAAATATTTGAATAAATATAATTGATTTAATGAAGATAATTAATAAAATGTGTTTCTGGGATATAAATTGACATAGTTGGGCAACAAATTAATTTTATAAAAATTTAAAATATGCTAGCAAATATATATACACCATTATTTTATAGCCTTTATCATAATCTATTCATATTGATGATGGGCTGAAAAGAAGTGATTTCTGCCAGATATTTTTGTGCCAAAACTCAGATTTTGTTTTAGATTCAATCCCAGGCCCAAAGTACATCTATGATTGTAAATTTTTATTACCCAAGATTCTTCTAATATGCTCACTTATTAATATAGTGTAGAAATTCTTGAATAGTGTGGACATTGATAGTATCTTTATGTTCTGATTGGTACTTGATGACACTTTATTGTTTGGAGAAGGAGTTGATTACATAATAACTTTAATTGTCTAATATTATTAATTATATATTCAGAGTGAAAGTTAGGATGTTGAATAATACATATAAGTTCTTTATATGCATTACTTGCTGCATCATAATAAATTAAATTATTATGTATATATATTTAGTATATAATTAATTATGCAAAAATATAGTTATAAATATACATAAATAATAAAATCTCTAATTAATACATACTGATCATATGCTTAGTGACCTAAGTAAAAAATAACATCTTTATAAAGTTTTTAAAATATGGGCTATACTCTCCGGACAGTGCCTGAAAATTAATTCCACTATCTACTATAGTTTGTGTAGATTCTGTTCTTACTTCTGATTGTAGTTCTATTTCTTTCATAATTGTAGACTGGTCACAGCTACTCAAAAAATCTGATATGCTACTTAATGTATCCATATCTGATATGCTATTTAAAGTATCTGATTTACTACTCAACATATCTGAAGCCATAGAAAAGCTGCATTCAAAATCAATATTAATATGCTAACTTTCTTCTGAAAAATTCTCTTGTAGGTTTTGGTCACTATAATCCTTATTATTTACTGAGTTCAACAAAGTTTGGCTTCTAATATCTTGTAAAATATGATATATTTGTGGTTGGCAAATTCTTTTTGTATTTGGTTGGAACTCTTATGTGCGATACATTTTTGTAATACAATTTTTTGAGTAACTTTTTTTGCTTTTTTGGTTCATACCTGATTCATTTTTTATATTAACTGTATAATAAAATATTAATTATAAGTTATTAATATTAAAGTATTTGGCTATAGTTTTTAGATAACAAATAATAAAAAGTTGAAAATAAAAATATTAATTAATATTAGTGATTGTTACAAAAAGATGAAAAAAGTCTATGAGATGGTAATATATAATTTGAATGATTGTTTAAGGCAAAAGTTAAAAGAAAACAGATGAAAAAAGTCTATAATATAAAAATATTTAATTTATAATCTTTGGGTGATGGCATGTATTAGGAAGAAAAAAAAATTAAAAAAAAGTTAATGAGAATTTGCTTTTATATTTATTTTTTTTTGGAGTGAAGTTTGATCATTATTATTAGCATTGTAAATTACATTTTAAATTTTAACATTTTAGATTTCAATGTTCTTAAATAACTTTTAAAATTAAATTTTTACTAAATAACTCTTAATATTATAAATTATTGAATATTATTATAATAAGCTTAATAAATACATTTGAGCTTTCTAGTTCATTAACTAATATGGCTCAAAAAAAATCACATGACTATTTTTCACTATTTTCATATGATCAAGTCATTATTTCCAGGTAATTGGTTTACAGTTTAAAGCTAAATATATATGAGTATATAGCAATTTATTTTTATAAAATTTTTCTTATAATAGATATAAATAATATTAAGATAAAAAATTAGATCTTACTTGAGATTTTCTATAATACATAGATCTTTCAAATCTATTTCAAATAAGAAAATGGTTAATTAAAGAAATTACAGAATTACTAAAATGGAATAGTGGCATGGAGAGAAGTTTATGATTTTTAGAGCTTGGGCCTTGTAGAGACAATACCAGAGCTCAGATTTGTTTCTTTTTACTTGTACTTACTAGTTACTTGTGTATATAGTATAATTTCAGCACTTATGTCTCTTCTATAGCTTTTATTTTTAGTATTCTTCTTACTTTAGGGTCATGTATTACAAGATAATAAATCCAATTAATCGACACAAGCAGATAACAATAGTAATAATTATAGTTTAATTTTTTGTTATAAAAGGAAGCTAATTACTAATTGATTTTTCTTTCTTTACTTTATGATGAAAAATAACAATTTTTGAAGGCATTATAGGGACATGAATAATTAATTAAAAGTAATTTTATAATAAAAGTGAACAACTTCTTTTTATCTCTTTGAAATTTTAGAACTCATTGCTTTATTGTTATGAAAAGATGAGATTTTATAGATTCTTTTTAAGTATATGATAACTATACTGGCTATGCTAACTTATTTCTTGTTTACTTAGATTTTTTATGTTCAAAATGTACATATTAATATATACAAAATATACATATTGATATATTTAAATATCTGGGATTCTATTTATAACAATTAAACTATTTATTATGTATTTGAACATTGAATATTTTTGGAGTACTATCGATGTTGGGCAAGATAAAAAAAATAAAAATAAAACTATTATAATGTAATAATAATAACACTAATAGATGGTTCAGAAGCCCCTTTTACAGCATGCATACATCTACAATAATTAAGAATTGAATATTTATAAGAATATAATTTAAAATAATAGTAATAATTCAATAACAGTTATATAAGTTTCAAAGCAATATTATTTATTAAATGATTTTAGCAATTAAATAATGCTCTTTTTTAAAGTAACAGATTTGAAAGATAACTAGTAATTAAACTAATATTTTCTTTTTTTTTTTACATTAATTATTAAGTGATATTAGCTACATTATAAGTAATAATAGTACTCCATTTTATTGATTTTGTTTGAATATAGTGTTAGTCAAACTTTAGAAGTAACCTAAGATCTAATTGCTATAAGGAATCATTTCTATTAGCTGTAAATATAATCATATTAACTGTTATAAAATTAAGATCTTTGACTTCATTGATCACATCTTTATCCAAAAGATTTTCTTAGACAAAGAGGTTAAAAGCTGTTTGTATGAATATAGTAAATTTGGCAACATTTTCGAGCTGCTTTCTGAATGTCTTCTCTAAATCTAAAATATTCATATAGCATTTTAAAAAGGCTTGCTAATTGTTTTTCGTAATATATTTAGAAAGTTGCTTCATTTCAGGTAGCTTTGACTTAGTTAATCTAAAAAACATTATTTAATTTTCTTTTTATTTTATTTAAATAAACATTAATTATTTATAAAAAACTTACTTATATTTCCTTATAAATTCAGAAACTAAATTCCTAAGTTCCTTTCTTAAAGACACATTATAATCCTGGAAGCAAGCAAAGGTCCATCACTACAATGTAGTATGTTCTAATGCATTTGTTTGAATATTTTTAAATAAAGATCTGATCAGTGCATTAATAATGTGCTTGTTTACAGTATGGGTACAAAAAAACAGGTCTTTAAAATGCATCTGAAGAGTTTTGAGGTTCTATTTTAATAAAATATTAAATAATTGAACTACCAAAATATTATTCAAATTGTAAATTAAACCTACTCTTTCTGGTAACACATTGAACTTGTCAGCTTTTTCTTGGATACCTGTAGAATCTTGAATGCCTGCCTTTATTATATTAAATATTAACTTAATGAGATTAGGATGATATACAAGGTATAGGCAAATCTCCAAGTCATTCTTAAAGAGTCCAATTAAAGAAGTTGAGAATATATCAGTATCATTTGATATCGATGGGCATTGATTATTAGTATCTTTGAAAAAATTATTGATTAAGGAGATGAGGTGATGTTGGGTGATAGTAATCATTCACTATAAATACTTTTGAAAGAGTTACTTTTAACTGAAAAAGATGGAGAAGCTTAAGATGAAAATGACTGTTGTTTATAAGATGAAGTGTTTTTAATTAATAAAGATAAGAATGAAGCATTTAATGCTTGTTCTCTTTGTTGTATGCTATTTTTAGAAGCAAATTGTCTCTAATTAAAGAAGACAAAGAACTTGATCAAATTATCTCTAAATTATATAATAAGATAATATTATTTTCATATTATAAAAAACATAAATAAAATTATATCATTGTCACTAACAATTAAACTAGGTTCAATTTCTATTCTCTCTTTTGATTTAATACGATTCAAAGATTTTTTTTCTTTATTCGATATAACATCCACATTTGTTACTTGTAACTCATAATCTTCAACTGAATTATTTGTTTCAATTGATCTTAAAGGGAATTCATCACTATTGATCAAGCTAGGTTCTTCATAATTTCTCTCTTTTTTATATTAGTATAATTTGAACCTTTTTTTCTTTTATTCACTATAACTTCCATATTGGTAACTTGAAACTTGTGATTTTCAACTGAATTATTTGATTTAATTAATTTTAGAGAAGCTAACAATTATATAAAATAATAAATATATAATATAGCAAAGAATATTCTAATTACAAAGGCAAGTTCATTTCTTATTATCATTTTTTTTATTAACAACTTTTCATGTTCTAGCCATTTTAAATTCTAAAATTATAATTCAATAAAAATTTAATTAACTTTATAAAATTGTCTTTCTCTTGCTAACTTCAATTGATATTATTACTTTCGCTATTAATTTTATTTTGACAAGTTTGTATCTTTTTATTTTGATTTTGAATAAAAAAAAAATCAAACTTTTAATCAAATTTTTATCTTTTTATCACAATTTTACTATGCTATTACATATATAATTATTATTATTATATAAAGACAATGCATTAATTAACTATTACAAATATAGAAAATATATTAATTTTGCATAAATTAATTATTACTCTGAGTCCTGAAAAGGTAATATATTGTATATTAGATCCATTAAACCCATTACTTAGAAATTTTATTAATGGGTTCTACCAGATCAGTATTTTTCTTATTTAGTAGGACATCAAGTCTTAATATTTTCTTTAAATTCAATAAGTAAATTTTTGACAACATAATTTAATTATATTTTTATGAAATCAAATCAGACAATTAATAAATAACATTTTTATAAGATCAAATTAGATAATTATTATTAAAAGTGATTTGGTATTTTTAAATATTTTTGTAGTTTGTAAAAAAAAATTCAGTCTTTAACATATTTTAATTTTCATTTTATATACTATATTACTAATTTCTTTTATTATTGTCTTTAATATCATCTATCTTAATAATAATATCATGTCTTTAATAATTTTAACTTGCTTATATAATTTAGTTTTTTTATCTGTTCAAAATCGATCCAACATATTAGCTAATTATTTAGCAGTTGGTCAGTTTTGGTGTTTTGCATCTAAGAACTTATTTATCAAATCTGCAATTAACATTTATCATTTACTTTATTAAAATTTGTTTAAATGTTTATATAAGTGACTATATATTTATTAAAAAACATATATGTAATACATTAAATTGCTACAACAAAATAACAAAACCAATTTGCATAAACAAGATGCTATGGCAATAACTTGTTGATTATTTGTTTAGATGTCAAGGTTTTTGAAAGCTTCATTAAGGTAAAAAGTTAAATCTTTATATATTACCATAAAATAAAATCGTTACCTTATCTATACAACTTTTTTGAATTTATCTAGCTCATAATGAATTAATGTCAGATTTTTTTTTATCATTCATCATTTTAACAAACCTTACATCTCATATTTCTTTTATCATCTATTGTTTTCAAACCTTATACTATGACTTTGATGAGTACCTATCTTTTTCATTTTTTCTAGTTTTTTTCTTACACATATGTCTTTACTAAATCCATTTTATACTGAGCTTTCATATGTGTTATTGAATAGATCTTCTAATCATATAACTTTGCTATTACAAGTTGTTTTTTAATGACTACATCTTTATATTTACCAGGTGATCTTTACCTTACTATCTAGTAACCTATGATTTGTCAATATATTCATTATTAAATTCATCAAATTTTAACAAATCTTTTTACTAACTCTTTTGTTACACATTTTTTTGAGGTATGTCTTATTATTGTTTTTATTAGTTTGACATTCTGTACTTCATAAACTCAACTTTTATCATTCTTTAAATCATCATTTGAGATCCAACATGAACTAAAAATAGCTCACCTTCTAACATCCATAACACAAATGTGATTTATAAATTCTTCAATTTATCCTCTATAACAATCTTGATCACTTTTTTGATTAACAATATCTATTGATTCTTGTTTTTGATACTCTTTTGTTTTATTGACTCAGGTATGTATAATCTTTTTACTGTTTTTATTCACTATTAAATTAACCTATGCTAATAATGTTTCTTTTTTCTAATTACTTATTAAACTTTGATCACAATTTTAAATGCAATTGTTATTGTAAACTTCTAAATTTCAACAAACATAATATTGTCTCACATATTCAGCCATTCTCAAGCACCTCTTCTAATATAATTGGCTAGTGATTGAAGTGACACTCAAATGTTATAGTCATTTAAATAAAGATTGCAATTTTATATGACTACAAGAAAAATAAGTGATTATCTAATTATCTAAAAATTTAGCTTCTGCACTTGAAACTTTGCTTCCAGCATCTGTCTTCTTAACAATTCACCAATAACTTAGCATTGCAACAATGTCTATATTTAGCTACACATTATATTTAGCAATACAACTTAATATTAAAATAATATTGAAGTATACTAGTACAGAACTAAATTTGGTGGTCATGGCTTCAGGTTTTTTTTAACCAAAATGATGTTTACAGTTAATTCTTTTAACCAATCAAATCAGTCAGTAAACTTATTAAGGTAGATACTTGAGAAGAATAAATTAGTTATGTAACAAAATTTTAGCAGAATGGCCAAAAATTTAGAGTCAAAATAGGCTAGAACTATGCTGGCATTAAGCATAATACTACTATACTATTAGCTAACCATATGATAGCAAAATTATAGATAAGCAATTTTATTTAATATATAGGTTACTAGTTTATTGGATGAATTTGAAAAAAATTTATCAATTTCCAATAATTTTAATAAATTTGGAATGCATAACTAATCTATTCGCTTAAGAATAGCCTATGTATATTAATTGAATTTTTTTAGATTAAGTTTATTAATAAAGCATGCTTTTTTTTTCTAGTAACCCATGCAATTTTATAATATAAAGTATTGTTTTTGTAAATATTTTAAAATGTTTTGATTACAAATTTTGTTTTTACAATATTGTAACAATTCTTATATTTTAATTTAAATTATTAAATAACAATATTAATATATTGCAAATATTATATTTTAACAATATTAATAAATTATAATTTTTATTAATAATAATAAATATAGTAATAATATTGTAATATAGTCATACCTCTCTATAATCACCCCCTATATAATCACATCATATAAAAACCTCTTTATAATCACACCTATATTTACGCCCAATTACTATCTAATATATAACAAAAGACCTCTATATAAGCACACCTCTTTACAAGAACATTTTTTAAAAAAAGTTCATATGGTCCCAAAAGTGTGATTATAAAGAGTTATGACTGTATTAATAAAACAATATTGTAAAAATATTATAATTTTATTTATTTAATTATAATTTTTAGTATTATTATATATAATTAATATATTAAATTAATATTATTACTATATTGTAAAAATATTATAATTTTATATATTTAATAATAATTTTTAATAAAGTTACAGTATAATTTAATATATAAAAACAATATTATTATGATATAATAATAATATAAAAATTATAATTTTTTTGTAAGTTTTATAAATTATATTGTTATAATATAGTATTTGTATAGTTAAAAAAAACATATATTTCAGCAAGTAGTTATATAGTGTGTATATGTAATATTTATAAATTAGTTATATGCATTATTTTTTTATAATCAAAATTTTGTAATAAGGCTATACTAATAATTTGTTCTAGAATATTCTAAAACAATTTTTGCATATAGTACTATATATGGCATATTACTACATGTGATATAAGGTCATGCAAATCATCAAAAAACAACTAAATTTTTAGGTTCATATATAATATAGAGACATTTCACTCATCATAAAATAATGTATCTATTTCTAGTATAAGCAAAAACAAATTATTGCTTGACTTTGTTATATTTTATCAAATCTAATTTAAACAAATTAATTTTTTTTTATAGAAATAAGTAACAAAAAAGAAAAACCTGTAAATTATTTTACTCATTATTTCGATAATAAGTAAAATAATTTACAGATTTTTTTTTTCTCGTCAATCAAATAATAAACTCATATAGGAGAATTTTGACAAGGCATAGGATCAATTTTGGTGATATATGATTCTTGGAAGACAAATGTTACTAAGTTAAAAACTTCTTTTATATTTGAATTAGAGTCTAAACTAAGGTTAGAAAAAATATAGTATAACAAAATTATACAAGAAAATTGTTTTGTTAAGACTTTAAAGTAGTTTACTAAACTAAATTTAAGATAAATGTGATTTTTACAAAGTGAATATTTGTTTTGAATTTCTTTACATTATATCTGATTCTAATCTTTAATTAGTTAATATATATCAAAAAATCATATAAAAGTAAAATCAATCCTACATGCTGGCATTGTTTATATAGGAGAATCTAGAATAAACTTATTTTACTAAGTTTTAATAATGAAATCATAGTTCACTTATTAAGTAAAACTGTTTAGCTAATAATTTTGACCCAAAAATAGTTAACTTATATTACTAAATGCTAACTAAATTCTGGGTTAAATTTGATGGTTTTGACTCTGAATTTTGGGAATTCTTCTGTATAAGTTTAAATCATAAGATGTATATAATGTATATGAAGTTAAAATCTATAAAATCAAAAATAAACAAGACATGACTTTAAATCTAAATGCATGCATATATACAAATAAGATATCTATATAGGTTTGTATAAGCTATATTTACTAGTTGCACTTCATTCATCATTCTTTTTAGTATTTTTCAGAGTATTACACAAAGTTACAAGAATTAATCATTCAATTAGATACAAGATTTCACATATTGATATCTGAATCGCATATAAACTACTAGGATAAAGTAAATTGTTATAATAGCAAGCACTATTTTATGCAACTTCAAATCATGTGAAAATAAAATAAAACAGATTAATAAAAATGAAAGACATAAAATAATAAAAAAGCTTCATAACAAAATTGATAATACAAATAGGATCTTGTTTAAAACAGGTAATAAATAATCTGGCAATAAAAAACTATGCTAATAAATAGTAAAGGCCCATGTTCAAATCAATGACTAAATAAGAAAGTCTAAACACTTTAAAATAATATTATTTATATAACAT